GGTTCTTACCATTAGTCAGCTATGCCTGGACACCGAATTCGCTGATCGGAAAACGGCTTGGGGGGATGAAAGTATATAGTCTAAAGTACAAAAAAACGTGAAAAAAAAAAATTGATTCTTTGAAAAACAAGATCGGGAATACCCCCTTAAGACAGCCACGCCATCGACCAATGACAAAAATCCCTTTTCTCTTTTGTCAGATGACCAGACTGACTCTGACTTGGCTGAGGAGGGAACTTCTTTCCGTTTTTCTGCACAAAAACGAAAACGCATCCGTTCGCGGAAAGTTGGCAATCAAGAACCCCAAATCAGCTTGCCCAAATCAAGGAGTGGTGGAAAAAAGGAGACTTCTACTCCTCCTGGATTCCGCAGAACTGACTATACCCAGGATTTTCCACCGCTTCCGGGGATATCCAAAACCCCTGATGCCCCAATTTCAAGAACAGAAACCTCTTCTTTATCTGGGTTGTTCTCATTTGATGACATTGTGGACGGTATTCTCAAATACCTCAACATTTCTGATCCTCACAAAAGCATTGTCCTCACATTGCTTCCCACTGTGAAATCCTTCTTGAAGCAATTGACTTCAAAATGGCCCCTTCTTGCAGCTATGATCTCCTTCGATGGATAATTTTCCAAACGAGGTCGGGGATTTGATCACTGTTCTACAGTGGAATTGTCGAAGGCTTATTCCGAAATTACATTCGTTACATTTAGTTCATTACAATAATTGCGATGCATTTGCCCTTTGTGAAACATGGCTCTCTTCAGAAATTGATCTCCCTTTTTTATGATTTTAACATTATTCGATTGGATCGTGAGGATTCACGTGGAGGAGGAGTACTTTTGGGGATCAAAAAGTGCCATTCCTTCTATAGAGTGAATCTTCTCGAATTCCCCGGTATTGAAGTTGTCGCATGTCAGGCTACCATTAAAAGTAAGAGCCTTTTTATTGCTTCTGTATATATTGCTCCTAGAGTCTCTGTTAATCGTAAACAACTTTTCGACATATGTCACTTGGCATGTAATTCAGGATCCGCATGGTAGTGATCATCTGCCGATCAAAATTTCGATTGCCAGTGGGTTCAACTCGTCAGAATCCGTTAACGTCGCGTATGATCTTACCCGTAACATCGATTGGACTAAGTTCCAATCCGCGATAGGCGATACAGTATCGTCAGTGGAAGAGGTTCCGCAATTGGAGGAAGATAACTCCCTCTCTAATCTCATCGTCGACAGCGCACTTCAAGCTCAAACACGACCGGTGCCTCGATCGTCAATTCGTAAGAAAACACCATGGGATCAACAATGCACGGAGGTTTACCGTTAAAAGTCCGACGCGTTTAAACTTTTTCGGAAACGCGGAACACGCGAGCATTTCGACTCATAAACATATCTTGAACTCAAGAGCCTCATCAAGGCCAAAAAACGGGGTTACTGGCGGCAGTTTGTAGACGGATTGTCGCGCGAAACGTCTATGAATACGCTTTGGAGTACGGCGCGAAGAATGCGTAACCGGTCTACTAACAACGAAAGCGAGGAATACTCGGATCGTTGGATTCTTAAGTTCGCGCGAAAAGTGTGTCCGGATTCCGTGCCGTCGCAGTTGATTCCTCGCGAAACCGCGAATTCGATAGACGAAATAAGTCAGCCTTTTTCAATGGTCGAACTTTCACTCGCTCTCCTTTCGTGTGGCAATCTGCTCGAATCAAGTTCAACTTGCTGAAAAACCTCCCAGACGTCGCTAAAAGGCGCATGTTGAACTTGTACAATCAGCTCTTGGAGCTCAATATTGTTCCCGACGATTGGAGACGAGTGAGGGTTATTGCCATTAAAAAGCCAGATAAACTCGCGTCGGATCACAATTCGTATCGGCCCATCGCGATGCTGTCGTGTATTCGGAAATTGTCGGAGAAAATGATCCTTTTTCGCCTCGACAAATGGGTTGAGACGAACCACCTTCTTTCAGATACTCAATTTGGTTTCCGTAGGGGTAAGGGAACGAACGACTGTCTCGCGTTGCTTTCCTCGGAAATTCAGTTGGCTTTTGCTAAGAAAGAGCAAATGGCTTCTGTGTTCTTGGATATCAAGGGGGCTTTTGATTCAGTATCCGTTGAAGTTCTGTGGATTGTCTCCATTAATTAATATTTTTTGAACAATTTGCTGTCAGAAAAACATATGAGCTTTTCTCATGGAAACTCTACAGCTTTCCGATTTAGCTACATGGGTCTCCCCCAAGGCTCATGTTTAAGCCCCCTTTTGTACAATTTCTACGTTAGAGAAATTGATGACTGTCTTAGTGACAATTGCACGTTGAGACAACTTGCAGATGATGGCGTAGTGTCTATCACAGGGCCCAAAGGGGTCGACCTGCAAGGACCCTTACAGGATACCTTAGACAATTTGTCTACTTGGGCTATTCAGCTAGGTATCGAATTCTCCACGGAGAAAACTGAGTTGGTCGATTTTTCTAGGAAGCATAGGCCAGCACAACCAAAGCTTCAACTTTTGGGTAAACCGATCACTCATTCTATGTCCTTCAAATATCTTGGGGTCTGGTTCGATTAAAAATGCACCTGGAGATCCCACATTGAGTATCTGAGACGAAAATGCCAACTAAGGATCAATTTCCTTCGATCAATTACCGGAACGTGGTGGGGAGCCCATCCACAAGATCTTCTGACGTTGTACCGGATAACGATTTTATCGGTTCTAGAATATCGTAGTTTTTGCTTCCAGTCGGCAGCTAAAACGCACATCATCAAGCTGGAACGGATCCAGTATCGTTGTCTTCGTATCGCGTTAGGATGCATGCACTCGACTCATACTATGAGTCTCGAAGTACTGGCGCGCATGTTGCCACTATCCGTCCGTTTTTCAGAGCTATCTCTGAGGCTCCTCACCCGTTGCGAAGTAATGAACCCACTGGTGATCGAAAACTTTGAGAAGCTTCTGGAGCTAAATCCTCAAACATGTTTTATGACTTTGTACTACTTATATTTAACACAGGATGTCAGCCCTTCAAGAAATATTATCAATAGTGTAGTCTTCTTCGATTTCGGCTAGCGTCCTATGATTGCTCCGTCATTATACTCTGCAAAGTTTGGCCATGTTGATTCTGCAAGAACGTTTTTCACAGATGGATCTCTAATAGAGGAGTCCGCTGGTTTTGGTGTAGTTAATGAATTTCATAGCGCCTCTCGAAAACTTGAAGCTCCTTGTTCTGTATATGTGGCTGAACTATTGCTTCACTTCTTCCAGACCACTACTTTATTTTTACGGATAGTCTCAGTTCTGTCGAGGCTATCCGTTCCATTAGGCCGGTAAGGCACTTCTCGTATTTTCTCTTGAAAATACGAAAACTGCTTCGTGCTTTATCCGTGCGCTCTTTCATCATCACCTTCGCGTATGTCCCTTCGCATTGCTCGATTTTGGGCAATGAGAAGGCGGATTCACTTGCGAAGGTGGGCGCTATGGAAGGCGACATTATATTTGCAAAGATTTCACGTATATCCTAGCGCCGCGTAGTGAGAAAATTCTATACTGTCGACTATATGATCGACAAATCGCCTATACTGAATTTTTTTTCTATTTATCGTCACCAGTCGCTCGTTAGCTGGCAACATCAATGGAGTGAAGGGAGCATGGGACGATGGCTACATTCAATTATCCCTAAGGTGTCGAAGTTTGCATGGTTCAAAGGGTTGGACTTGGGTCGAGACTTCATACGCGTGATGTCTCGTCTCATGTCCAATCACTATTGTCTAAACGCTCACTTGTTCCGTGTGGGGTTGGGAGACAGCAATCTCTGTGAATGTGGACAAGGTTACCAGGACGCTGATCACATCCTTTGGTCTTGTGCGGAGTATCGTGGAGTCAGATCAGATTTTTATGATTCCCTTCGGGCTCGAGGTAGACAACCTAATGTTCCAGTTCGGGAATTTTTGGCTAGACGCGATCGGGAGTTTATGAAACTCATATATGTTTACTTTAAGAATATTAACCTTAGACTGTAATTTTGATTAACCTTGTGTTTAGTTTGTATTTTGTAAAAGTTGATCAATTGACAAAAATAGGGTCATCCACGAAATTCATTGGTCCTGAACCATTCTTTTGGAGCTAAAAAAAACTGGGAAAAAAAAACAAAGGTACAGTACAACTGGTCCAGTACCTTAAATTGTCGGCAATCCAAACGTTGTATAAAGCCGAACGCTTTGCAAACACAAACATTACTTAATCTTTCTAAAAAAGATTTTAATACATACGCTAGTTTGATAGCAGGTCACTGTCCTTGTAAATATCACCTGAAAATCATTGGTAAACTTCATGAAGATAAATGTCGCTCTTGTAACATTTGAGTGACTGTGTTGCACTATTTCATAACCGATGCAGATATCTTGATAAGGGTCTGATGAGACCTTAGGAAATCCGGGCTGCTGCTCCCTATCAGGTAATAAATTTCATAAGGAATGTAGTACCTGGTTGGGACAATTGCTTACAACAGTAGTGGTAGTTACTCAAACAATAGTGGCTTACCACTACGTTATGGCATAAATAAAAAAGGATACAGAACAATAGATCAAAGAAAAAAAAAACATGTGTTCAACCATATTAAATGCAATGAAAAAACGACCTCACAGACAGAGTTTGTCTTCCTATCATGAAAATTTATGATAACAAGTTAAATATATAGCGCTAACCGAGCAATTATAAATACAGTTACGTTTTAAACCTGGAGAGGGGGTGTTGATAAATGTGTAATGTTTGATTACAGTGGGAGGGGGTGTGTAAAATTGACCTTTTGTGTAAATTATGCAGTCATTATTGGGATTACATTTCCATAACTGTAGCAGTTTTCCGTAGGAAAAGTATCTCACTCTCTCTTATGCCATCGTTGTTCGTACCACCCGAGGGTGCTATAAATAACATTCTTCTGTAAATTAAGCACCCGCAATGCTGTTCAATCCTACGGTATGATATACCACGCCACGTTCACCTACCTTGCTATCCTTCGCGTAGTACAGCTTGTGCCCCTTAAGCCGAAAGTATCTCCTGCGCCATCTCTGGAACGACCATGTTTGCTTCATCAGGTATCCTTCCTTGGTGGCGGCCTGTGGCAAAGAAAGACAATACAAAGCACTGTTAAGCTTGCATCACACGCCCTGTGCTAGCCGTTGAACAAATTTTACATTTTCAGTATAACAGTCAATTAAAAAATAATACACGATGGCAAAATACATTGCACTTTCCTTTAGGGTTAATTGTGATGTTCGATTTGATTTTTTTTGTACATACCAAAGCAATATTTTAATTTAGATTAAGTTGTGTTAAGATTCAACAGGGTGATCTGTCACTGTTCAAACTTACTCCTACGTTGTGTCTCAACTTTGAGAATTGTGGCCACAGCACGGCCCCAGTGTGCGCACAGGGAAGAAAGTGCATGCGATGCACTTTAGAAGAGCAGAGATGCCAGTCCGTCACTGATACACACACTTGCAATTTTCGGTTGCGCCAAACTAAGAACAAGAGTTCTTCCACACCTTTTATTTAACTACAGAAATATATAGTTTAAATTTTAGGCTTATTCACTTTGAGCTACTACTAATGACTGACTGATCTGAACAAATGATGATGGGAGGAAATGATGATCTTGACGAAAAAAAAAACCCGAATACAAGTAACCGAAGACATAAGGTTGCCAGTATAACTATATAATTTCGCCTGAACCGGCGAAAATGCGGTGCTGTATGGGCTCACTACCAAAAACTTCACATTATGTTTCATCAGTCACTTTTAAAAATGGTAATAACGATTGAACGCTTCAAATCTCTCTCCCTTTACCTTCAATTACCAGCCACATTGGTAACGAAAATTAACCGCAGCTGGCACTCACATTTAAGTTCCAGAAATTTTGAAGTCCTAGCGATGCGTCTATGCTATCGAATTGAACGGATTTTCCACGCATGGTTTCTTTTTACCTCTATAATGATGCGAAAAAAAAAGTTTCATTTTTTCGAAGAGATTTCAGTTTTTGAAAGATAACACACGAATTTGTACAGGTTTATGACATGCTCCATTGTCATGTTTGAAATTCCATTCGTTATTGATTTCATGGCTGCTTGAAATCAATAACGAATGAAATTTTAAATCCTACTATCAATACAAACTGATATTTGTACACACTTTAAAACAATAATAATTGAAAACATTGAGAGTTGCATATTTGAGAAATTGGTAACAGTTATTCTGAATCACCCTGTAATTCCTATTTTTGTCAGGCATATTGGTCATTTCACTTACTGCAAGGTTTAAGCTACGTGCCTCATTCAAAATTCTTTCTTAATATCCTGATCCAATTTTTTCGTGTATTGTGTCCGAGTGATTATCGTTTCAGTGGTAGAGTGTTTTTCGCTCCCACTAGTACGTTTAAAATGGACATTTTTTCGCAAGACGAAATGGACGTTTTGTCGGAAGATGACACTACTTTGCCACGCGATAGCAAGAAGGATCGAAAACGTCTGTCATCCCAGTAATCAGATGATGCCATCCCTGGTTCGTCACCTCAGTCTGGTAATGCACAGGGACAGATAAGCCCCCGATCGCAAGCCTACCCAGAAGACTCGACTGGCCCATGGGTTGTTTACTTTCAGCCCAAAAAGAAACCTTTGAATGTAATGCAAATTACTAATGATCTGACGAAGCGGTTCTCGGCCGTGACCGAAATCTCGCGTTGTCGTCTCTAACCTGAAACAAGCTAACAAGATTGCTGTCTCCCAGCTCTTTACACTCGAGTATAGAGTGTACATCCCAGCTCGTAATGTGACCCCCGAGATCTTGGCGAAGCAAGCGGTTGGCCGTTTCAAGAACCCCTTGCTTCCCACGGTTGAGATACTGGAAGTCCAGAAGATGAACTCAGTATCTTTCAGCGAGGGTAAAAAGAGCTTTACCCCCACAGACTCGTTTCGGGTGACCTTTTCTGGTTCAGCCCTTCCTCACTACATCGAGTTGGGAAAACTTCGGCTACCTGTGCGCTTGTTTGTTACTCGGTTCATGAACTGCCAAAACTGCAAACAGTTCAGGCATAACATTTGATAACGGCACAAAAGCATTTGTAAACAAACTTTCTAAAGCCCTTTACACGCGAACCAAAGTACGCCCACGCAAACCAATACCACTTTCGGAAAGGTGATAGTTGCCCCTATCCGATGATGTTGTTGGTTTGCGTGGGCATACTTTGGTTCGCGTGTAAAGGGCCTTAGAAAGTTTGTTTACAAAGGCTTTTGTGCCGTTATCAAATGTTATGCCTGAGTTGGGACATACGGCCTCTCACTGTGGCAGCAAGGCACGCTGTTCCAAATGCGGGGAAAAGCACGAGGATGGCGTCTGCACAGTCACTGCACCAAAATGCGTTACTGTAAGGGAACTCCTCATGGTCTCTCGTTGTGCCCGGCGTACAAACAACGCGGGGAGAATCTAGAACGCTCTCTTAAGGAGCGTTTCAGGCAGTCTTTTGCAGCAATGCTAAAAACAGCCACACCATCAACCAACGACAAAAATCCCTTTGCTGTTTTGTCTGATGACGAGTCTGACTCTGACTTGGCTGATGAGGGAGTTTCTTTCAGTTTTCCGGAAGGTGCTGCGCGGAAACGAAAACGCATCCGTCCGCGGAAAGTTGCAGATAAGGAACCCCAAATCTTCTTCTTCTTCTTCTTTGCATTTCAAGCTTATTGCATATCGCATATTTAGCTTATTGCGTGCTCTCAACTTAGGGTTCTAGATGCACTTCCACAGTTATTAATTGAGAGCTGTCGATGCCTGTACCATTTTTGCATAGATATGATTGTGTGGCAAGTCCAATCATACTTCTCTGCCCAGGGAAGTCGAGAAATTTTCCAACCCGAAAAATTCCTAGACCGAACCGGGAATCGAACCCAGACACCTCCAGCATGGTCTTGCTTTGTAGCTGCGCCTTTACCGACTGAGCTAAGGGAGGAACCCCAAATCAGTTTGCCAAAATCAAGGAGTGGTGGAAAAAAGGAAGTTTCAACTCCTCCTGGTTTCTGCAGAACTGACTATAACCAAAATTTTCCATCTCTCCCGGGGACATCAAAGACTCCTGATGGCCCATTTTTAAGAACAGAAGCCCCTTCTTCATCCGGGTTGTTCTCATTTGATAAAATTGTGGACGATATTCTCAAGTACCTGAATATTTCTGATCCTCTCAAAAGCATTGTTCTGGCAACACTTCCTTCTGTGAAGACCCTCTTGAAGCAATTGACATTGAAGTGGTCCCTCCTTGCAGCAATCATTTCATTCGATGGATAATTTTCCAAACGAGGTCGGGGATTTGATCACTGTTCTACAGTGGAATTGTCGAAGTCTCATTCCTAAATTAGATTCTTTTAAGTTTTTAGTTCACAATAATGATTGTGATGCATTTGCTCTTCAGATTTGGGGATCAAAAAGTGCCATTCCTTCTATAGAGTGAATCGTCCACAATTTTCAGGTATTGAAGTTGTCGCATGTCAGGCTATTATTAAAGGTAAGAGCCTTTGTACTGCTTCTGTTTATATTACTCCTAGAGCCGTTGTTAATCGAAAACAACTTTCAGATATCTGTTCGGTACTTCCTGTTCCACGGTTGATTATGGGAGATTTTAATTCCCACGGTACAAGCTGGGGGGAACTGTATGATGACAACCCTTCTACTTTGATATATGACCTCTGTGACAGCTTCAATATGACAATTCTTAACAATGGAGAAGTAACACGTTTGGCTGACCCATCCTCGAATGGAAGTAGATTAGATCTCACACTTTGCTCTAACTCATTATCGTTGGATTGCACGTGAAATGTGATCCAAGATCCCCACGGTAGTGATCACTTGCCGATCAAAGTTTCAGTTGCCAGTGGGTTCAATCCGTCGGAACCCGTTAACGTAGCGTACGATCTTACCCGCAATATCGATTGGACAACGTTCAAGAATGTGATAGAAGATGCTCTAATATCGGTAGAAGGGCTTCCACCGTTGGAGGAATATAACTTCCTCTCCAATCTGATCTTGGACAGCGCGCTTCAAGCTCAAACTCGGCCGGTTCCAGGAACGTCTTTCCGTAGGAAACCTCCTTCCTCTTGGTGGGACCAGCAATGCACTGAGGTTTATCGTAAAACACCCGTACATTTCGAAGCGTACTCGGCTCTTGAACGCGAACTCAAGAGCCTCATCAAAGCCAAGAAACGCGGATACTGGCGGCAATTCGTGGACGGATTATCGCGCGAAACTTCGATGAATACGCTTTGGAATGCGACGCGAAGGATGCGTAACCGGTCTTCAAACAACGAGAGCGAGGAGTACTCGGATAGTTGGATTCTCAAGTTCGCGCAAAAAGTATGTCCTGATTCTGTGCCGGCACAGATGATTTCTCGCGAAACGACGAATTCGGTAGACGAGATGAGCCAGCCTTTTTCAATGCTGGAGCTCTCACTCGCGCTCCTTTCGTGTGGCAATTCGGCTCCGGGGGCTGATAGAATCAAGTTCAAGTTGTTGAAGAACCTCCCAGACGTCGCTAAGAGACGCATGATGAACTTGTTTGGTCAGTTCCTGGAGCTTAATATTGTTCCGGATGATTGGAGGCGGGTGAGAGTTATAGCCATTAAAAAGCCTGATAAACCACGTCAGATCACAACTCGTATCGTCCCATCGCGATGTTATCGTGCATTCGAAAATTGATGGCTAATATAATCCTTTTTCGCTTGGACAAATGGGTTGAGACGAACCACCTACTTTCAGATACTCAATTTGGTTTCCGTAGGGGCAAGGGAACGAACGACTGTCTCGCGTTGCTTTCCACAGAAATTCAGTTGGCTTTTGCTAAGAAAGAGCTAATGGCTGCTGTGTTCTTCGATTTTAAGGGGGCTTTTGATTCAGTATCGGTTGAAGTCCTTTCAGAAAAACTCCACGCTTGTGGCCTTTCTCCATTAATTAATAACTTTTTGTGCAATTTGCTGTCAGAGAACCATATGTGCTTTTCTCATGGAAACTCTACAGCTTTTCGATTTAGCTACATAGGTGCCAAGGCTCATGTTTAAGCCCTCTTTTGTATAATTTCTAC